GAGTGCCCGGCACCATTTCAATACCAAAATCGTATCCCTGTCCGGTGGCATGCCCTGCAGGTCTGCGGGAAACACATCGAGAAAATCCCTTACAACTGGAACAGAATCAATGCTGGGAGTCTCTGCATTGACATCCCTCACAAATGCTAAGTATGAAAGACAACCTTTCCCAACCATACGTTGGGCCTTCAAGAATGAGATTACCCTACTGGGAACATAATCAGACAAACCTCGCCACTCAATCCGTGGCACACCCGGCATAGCTAACGTCACTGTCTTGGCATGACAGTCCAAAATAGCCCGGCATGGAGATCACCAATCCATGCTTAATATCACATCGAAGTCTACCATACATAACAACAGAAGATCCGTTCGGGTCTCCAGACCCCCAATAGACACAACACACGACCGGTATACACGGTCTACCACAACAGTATCGCCTACCGGAGTAGAGACATGAACAGAAGAAACGAGAGACTCACAGGGCGTATCCAAATAATGGGCAAAGTAAGATGACACATAAGAGAAAGTAGAGCCAGGATCAAATAACACAGAGGCATCTCTGCGGCAAACTCAGACAATACCTGTAATCATCGCATCCGAAGCAACCGTATCAGGTCTAGCTGGGAGTGCATAGAAACGGGCCTGGCCACCATCGGATCGACCCCCCCTCTTGGGCGACCCCTAGATGACTGTCCTCCACACCTAGCTGGCTGGGTGGATGGCGAAGTAACATATGCCGAAAGAGATGGCTGACTCCTCTGCTGAGATAAACCCCCAAGGCAACAAAGACACTGCCTCCACATATGTCCTAACTCTCCACACTCATAACAACTCCCTGGTGCCGGAGACGGAGACTAAAGGGGACCCCTAGCACCAGAATGACTAGCAGACACACCTAGTGTAGAAGAGTCCTAAACTGATGGAGCACGGGACGAACCCTGGGCTGGAAGGGCACTGAGTGAGGAATGACCCTGCTGAGAACCGTGAGAACCTTGGCCCAATGACGCCCCACGATAACCTGGGCGAGCTGACTGAGCATGCCTGAATGGGCGGCCTCTGCCGTGCTGAAACAGACCCCTCGAAGGAGCACCCCCAAAACTACCAAATCCTCGAGGCCTCTTGGCCTCCCTCTCCTCGCTCCTGGCGACAAACTGACTCAATCTCACGAGCGATATCAACAACCTCCTCAAACGTAGCACCTGACACCCTTTCCCTGGTCATGAGAATCCGAAGCTGGTATCTGAGGCCGTCAACGAACCTCCTGATCCTCTCTCTATCCATAGCAACCAACCAGATAGCATGACAAGCTAACTCTGAGAGCCTCATCTCGTACTGTGTCACAGTCATATCTCCCTATCGCAACTGCTCAAACTGCCTACGCAGCTCCTCTCTGCGGGACTGAGGCACATACTTCTCCAAAAAGAGAGCGAAGAACTGCTGCCAGGTAAGGGGCGCCGCACCAACAGGCCTACACCTCTCATATGCCTCCCACCAAGTGAAGGCAGCTGCCGCAAACTAAAAAGTCGTGAATGCGACCCCACTGGTCTCCAGAATACCCGCGGTGCGTGAATCCTCTGACATGTATCCAAGAAACCCTAGGCATCCTCGCCCTCTGTACCACTGAAAGACGGAGGCTGGAGCCTGCCAAACCTCTCCAATCTGCGCTGCTCGCCCTCTGGCATAACCGGGGCTATATAACCCTAGGCAGCTTCCACCGGCTGAGCTAGTGGTGCCTCTGGTGTCTGCAATCCCTAGATAACCTGCTCGAGTATGCGGGCGGCGGGAGTCTGAGTGCCTCCCCCGGCCTGAGAAGTGGCTGCGGTAGTAGAAACTGCGACTGCCTGAGCAAGACTCGTGCACACGGTCAAGATCTGGGCCAAGGTCCCCTGAAGACCTGGAATCACAATGGGCACAGCTGGTGCCTGAGCTGGTGCTGCTGGAGCGTCCATAACTGGGACTTGATCCTGAACTGGGGCGGCTGGTGGATCTGCAGGTGCTGCCCTAGCTGCTGTGCGTGCTACACCTCTGCCCCTACCACGGCCTCGACCGCGTCCTCGGCCTCTAGTGGCCCCAGCTGGTGGTACTGGTGGTCGTCCATCCTGACCAGTCGCTCGTGTCCTCACCATCTGTGAGAGAATAGAATAATAGAAGTTTAGTACTCGGATCAACAGATTCGCACGATAAGAATTTCAAGAATATGAAGTTTTCCTAAAGGTTCTGCAGCCTCCCGAGGATAAATACAGACATCTCCGTACCGATCTACGAGACTCTACTAAACCTGCTCATGACTCGTGAGACCTATGTAACCTAGGCTCTGATACAAACTTTTCACGGCCCCAAACCGGAACCGGTCGTGATGGCGCCTCTCGTGAAACAAGGCCAGCCGACACAACCCCCAAAACCAATTAACAGTTATAATAATTCATAATCAAGCCATTAATAAGTGATAAATCCAAAAATAGAGTGAGATAGAACAAGTGCGGAAACAAACACAGCCCGACATCGGGGTGTCACCAGTCATGAGCATCTAAAATCCGTCTAAGAGTATGAAAAGACAACATAGTCTAATACAAAGCTAGAACAAGCGACATAAAAATAGGAAGGAGAAGCACTGGGCTGCGAATGCCGAGCGGCTACCTAGTCAACTCCGTACAGCCTGCTGGAAAGCAATCAGCCCTCGCTAGCGTGACCCGAGACTCCTGGATCTGCACACAGGGTGCAGGGAGTAATGTGAGTACGCCAACTCAGTAAGTAATAAAAGTAAAAGCAACTGAGCGATAAGAAAACACGTAAATACACAGCAAAATACTACTACGAGGTAGTGTAAAACCAGAACAATACCATAAATCAGTAAAAACTCGTAAAAACATATTTTAGCAATTCAAATGAATAAATGAAAACAGGTATAAAAGATAGAAACACAAATCAGCCCCTCGGGCAAATACCAACAGAAACCAGCCCCTCGGGCTATCTCACAATCACTCGTATCAGCCCCTCGGGCAATAACATGGAACAACATCAGCCCCTCAGGCTATATCACATCACAAACTGGGTACCCGCGCTCACTGGGGGTGTACAGACTCCGAGAGGGGCCCCTTACGGCCCAAGCGCAATAACAAGCCATCTCGTGGCATAATCAACAGGCTCTCGGCCTCATATCAATCACAAGCCACCTCGTGGCATAATAAATCAGGCCCTCGGCCTCTCATATGTCACAAATAAGTACCACATGCTGCGGCGTGCAGCCCGATCCAATAGTATCCTCACAACACAGGCCCTCGGCCTTACTCAATCAAAATCTCACAAGCCTCACAGGCAGCAGTAAAACATGATGCTCAGCCCAAAATACATTTAAAATATCAAAACGAGTAAAGATGGATGAGTTGTGAAAACAGTAGAATATAGCATGACTAAATACAATTTCGAAGTCAGAACAGTGAGGAAATAGTAGTAAAATCCCTTAAGGGTCCAAATAGTTGGCACGAGGCCCAAATATGGCATTCCACCCAAACATGATGATAGCAAATAATTTTCAATCAAACACGCAGTTAAACAGTCATACGGGACGGACTAAGTCACAATCCCTAACGGTGCACGACCCCACGCTCGTCATCTAGCGTGTGCGTCACCTCAAAGTAGCACAACGATGTGATATCCAGGGTTTCATACCCTCAGGACGGTATTTACAATCATTACTTACCTCGATCCAGTCCAAACTCTAGCCCGTGATGCCTTTGCCTCTCGAATCGGCCTCAACACGCGTCGAATCTATCCAAAATCAGAATCATTACGTCAAAATATGCTAAGGGAACGAAACCCATGCGAAAATAATCAACTTACAACACAAATCCCGAAATTAACCAAACCCGACCCCAGGGCCCACGTCTCGGAATCTGACAAAATCAACATCAATGGAATCCTTATCTTCCCACGAGTTCATGCATATCAAATTTACCAAAATCCAACCATAAATGACCCCTCAAATCCCAATTTCCAGGTCTCCAATTTCAAGCCCTAGTTTCTTTAATATTTACCCACAATTTTCCACAAATTTCAAGCCTAATCAATGACATAACACCATAGGAACGAGTTTTATGTTCAAAAATCTTACCTCAATGAAGTTTCCTTGAGTTCCCTCTTCAAAATCGCCCAAAAAGCTCCAAAATCGATTTAAAATGGTGAGGAAAGTTTGAAAATCGCGAAGGATGAAATACATACTTTCTGACCCAGGGATTCCGCACCTGCGATCCTTTTTCCGCTTCTGCGGTCTAACCCACCGCACCTGCGGTTTTCACTTAAAGGTATGGGACCGACCTGCGGTCACTCTCTCGCTTCTGCGGCTCCTCCGCCTGGCTCACCTCTAGGTTGCTTCTGCGGCTTGCTTCCGCATCTGCGGGAGTCGCATCTGCGGCCTCCCAACCACAGATGCGGTAATGACAACAACCATAAAACTTCAGCTGCTAAACTCAACTCCAAAACCTCCCGTCAACCATCCGAAATCACCCCGAGGCCCCCGGGACCTCAACCAAAAGCACGAACAAGTTATATACCAATATCCAAACTTATACCAATCTTCATAACACCTCAAACAACATCGAATCAACCAAATCACATCGGATTCAAGCCTAAGGTTCCAAAATCTCCTGAATTACGCTTTTGATCAAAAAGTCTATCAAACCACGTCCGAATGACTTGAAATTTTGCACATACATCCCAAATGACACAATGGACCTACTGCAACTCCCGAAATTCCATTCCGACCCCTATATCAAAATCTCACCCATCAACCGAAAAACGCTAAAAATCCATCTTCGCCAATTCAAGCCTAAAGCTACTCCGGACCTCCAAAACACATTCCAATCACACTCCTAAGTCCCAAATCACCTCCCGAAGCTACCCGAACCATCAGAATTCACATCCGTGCCCTTTTTCACATAAGTCAACATCCAGTTGACTTTTCCAACTTAAGCTTACTCAAAAGAGACTAAGTGCCTCAAACCTTACCAAAAGCTCTCCGAACTCGAGCCAACCAACCCGATAGCACATAATACAGCTAAACAAGACAATCAGAAGCAGGAATGCGGGAAACGGAGCGGTAACCCATGAAACGACCGGCCGGGTCGTTACACTTCAGGTGATATGCTTGAGACAAATATGGCAGGTGTTGCACAGATATCAACCAGTGACAACTGAGGTAGTTAAGTTATGGCTAACCTTCTTATTATCATTATTATATAAGTAAACGATCGTGTGGGGCCAAGCTGATGTTATTATGATGATGTGTAGCCCTATGTGTCCTTGGATATGTATGTTTGGGCTGATGACAGGTTTTGGATAGTCCTTTTTACAGGGGAATCTCTGGCGAAATTCTTAAAAAAAAATTCAGAAGTTAGGTTAACTGCTAACATTCGAGGACGAATGTTCTTAAGGAGGGTAGAATGTTACACCTTGTGTATTCGGCGTTATCATGCCGTAAAGGGGCTAATTCGATAGGAAGATAATTTCTATGAGATATTTAAATGATGCGATAGTTATACATTAAGATTGGAAGTCATTCGAGTTGTGATTAAAAATTCGACAAAGATCGCCGCAAGTTACGGGTTTTAAATTTCACTGAAATTTGGATAAAATGTTGATGAGCTTTTCTCTCAATATACTAGAAGTTATAGTGTGTTCTACCCACCGAATCGAAGTCTATGAGTCTAGTTTCCAATGCAATAAACCGTTCATTAATACGACTTCGGAGTAGAGAGATATTAATATTTTCGTACAGGGATGCACACTGCTACGGGAGCAGTGTGCTTAGTCGATTTTAGTTAAAAGTTATTTTTTATTTAAGTCAATTTAAAACAAAACCCCTGCGTTTTATCCTCTCCAAAAAAGAACCTAAAACCTAGGAATTCCTCTCAAACTCCTCCCATCCATCTAGCCAATCATAACAAGTCATCCTCAAGATGGAGAACACCATGGTAACTTCGGAATCGTGAATTTTTTGGTGTTTCACTTTTCGTAGGAAGACTTCGCCTTGAAGTAATCTCGAATTTAAAATAATTTTGGTCACATAAGGTATGATTTAACTTCCTCTTTGATCTTTGTAAACTTCTACCATAAGAATTCCTATGAAATAGTTGAAACCTCTATAGAAATGTTCTTGATTTTTTTAAGAAACCTCTCTTAATATGACTTGATTGTTGGGGTTGTTCTATATGGTTTTATTGTGTTGTTTGGATCTGTGAAGACATGGATGGAATCGTGTCGATGAGTAGATGTAGTAAAGTAAAAATTTGGTGGTGTGTTGCGGGGAAATTAAACTACAAAAGAGTCCACAAATTCATGCCCGCAAGCTGTTCGCTTAAATGTCTAAATGAAGAATTATATAAGATATGAGTTTGAATTTGATATTGAATGGTTCGTATTATGTAGGAAAGCATTCCTAAGGCTTTCGAGGTCACGGAAACCGTATATAACTCCATCGACAAGGTATGTAGGGCTTTCGCTATACTTTTCGGCATGACTAGAATTCGAATAAACGTTTATCGAATTGTTTCGTCGGATTCGAGTTATTTCACCTTCAACTCATAATGATGCTTAGACCTGATCCTTTCTCATAGATTGCTTACTTCAGAGAATATCTATGAATTCTCGGCTTTTCTTGTTCCTTGCTTAAAAAGAACTAGAGCGTTTTTGTCGTTCTCTTTTCGACGTTCATATAAATCATAAATAATGTTCGCTGAAAAGTAACACTTACTTCAAAGGTACTCATAATACATAACTCTCATGTTCTTAGTACTTGTTGGCTCGTAGTTGAAAATTAAATACTTTAGCGACAACCATGATAGTCGGAGAATAATGATGATAGGCCACTTCGACTCTTCTTAGAATACGTCTTTTAAGGTTAGTTTCGCATTGCACTTATATATGTATGTATTTACTTTCATTACCGAGCCACACTATTGTTGGCCGGGTATGACACCTATTGTGTAACCACTGATCAGTTGGGATTACCGAGCTTCACGTGGCCGGGTACGATTCTACCGAGCCTTTATTATGGCCGGGTATGTTATGGATATTATAGCTCCACAGAGGGATTTATTATTATATAATGTGATATATTATAAGTAGCGATAGTGAGCGACGATTCCACGAGCATACATTTATATTCATGTTGAATTTTAGTTTCCTATCGAGGCTAGTTTCAGAATTCAGATTGTCTTTATATCTCTTCTCTTGTTAATTACATTTTTCATGTTACACTTGTTGCCCTACATATTCAGTACATATTTCGTACTGATGCCTTTTTATGCGTTGTGTTCATGCCCACAGGTTCGGATAGACAGAGCGGCGTGCCTCCTCAGTAGGACCCCGGGGATCATCGTTGGGTGTCGCACTCCACTTCTTCGGAGTTGCTGATTTGAGTCCATAGGTACTATTACAGGTGTATATGTGTAGTTTTGGGCATGTTGGGGGCCTTGTCCTGGCCTGTTGAGATTGTCTTACACTTTTAGAGGCTTGCAGGCTAGCGGTCATTGCATATATATTTTTTGTATGGCCCTATCGGCCTTCTAGATAGCTGTTATACTGTTGTTGCAGCCTTGTTGGCCTAGGTTTTATATATATATATATATATGTCGTGTTGGGATTTTCTGTCTGCAAGTTATTACATTTAAGATCATATCTCATGGTTGGTTCACTCGGGCCTTCGGACATCGGGTGCCGATCACACCTCCCAAGATTGGGGTGTGACAATATTACTGGAAGATACCTCCACGTTTCAGTGTGGAAAAGAATATTCTGTTTCTTTAATAAGTTCCTTGACATTTTCTACTAACTTCTTGATTTAAAAAAATTATAGAATAGATTGTGTCATCTGGACTAGCTTGGCTTCTTGATCCTTTTTCTTTCAAAATCTTTTCTGATGGTGATCATGAGTTAAGAGGCTGAGGAATCTCGTTTTTCAAATCAAGGAGAATTGTATGTCTTGTGCTTATTGATCATGAAAGAAAAAGGATCTAAAAGAAGAATATATATATATAT